CTTTCATACACTTATTTATAAATAGAGGGATGCGGCGGCTGGGGCTTTTGGACCCTGAGGCTCCGGGCCGACTGGCAGGGGGAAGGCGGGACATCCGCCCCTTAAAGACACACCATTGGCTCCTCAGGGGACGGGTCATGCACCCATAACAACACACCATTGGATGACAAGGGGGGGGACATCCACCCACCGCGGAGTCCCATTGGCTGAAAAAGCGGGGCGTGGCAAATGTCAAAAGTTTGACGAAAGGTGTCGCTTTACAGTACTGCCCAGGCCTTGCGACAGCACTTACATCATAGCTGTACCTACATTCCCTTCCAAGACTCTGGGAAATTTGCAGACCGTGAGCTTCCTGCATTGATTTCACAACTACATGTTCCAGGCAGGCAGTACAAAGAGGTTTTGTTCTTGTGGGGGATTCAGAACCTCAATAATCTGACAACAGAGGAGGTTCTTGAGTGCTTGGTTTGCTGTTGTGAAGTTTACCGCCAGATTGTTAAAACAATGAAAGAGAAAAAATCCCCTAATCTCATCAGAGCTGTCACGTACAGATCAACAGAGAACACAGTTGACCACATTAGCCCAGGGTTTGTGCTTTCAGGCATGACAAGGTCTTGTGCAGCAGAAATTCCAGGTCTCACATTCCAGGTGATCGATATTGGTTCCGTAAGTAGTGAGGACATTACAGCACTGGCTCAGATTATTAATTCACACACAGGCCACAGGTACCCAGAAGTTGTAATAAGCAAAGGCCAGATTTTACTGATACGGAGAAGCCTTCTATGACACAATGTGTAGAGGTTCAGATGAATACAATGTGTGTTCACTCTTCAGATTACTTTCCCGTAAATCAGGATGGGTTGCTGTAGTTGGAACACAGTTCAGTGGACTGTTACAGAACATAAACAGGTGTGATGCTTTCGTTTTCTTGCCTCCCTTTGATGCAGATTCAGTTGCAAAGGCATGTAGCGTTTCTAGTGCCAAACACGTCATTGTTGTCTGTGCTAATCAGCTGTCACCTGCTTTCTCGCAGAAAATCTTTCCAAGTAAAAATGAAAATGTTTGCATTCAGCTCCTTCAGGTATTTCATGTTTTTCAAAAGGCCCATCTTAAGAAACAGAAATCAAAAATCTATAAATGGATAAAGTCATTGAATTTGGACAATAGATTTCCACAGTGTAACATTCCAAAGGGTGACATCTGGCAGTATTGATTCTCTAGCTCTTGATGACTCTCAATCTTATTTCTCTTGTAAGGTGCTGCCTGTAGTTCTTCTGGAATCAGCACCAAAGAAGAATATTTCTGATATTCCAGTGCTCGAGAGTTATATAGTTACAGGGGGGCTTTCGGGTTTGGGATTTGAGACAGTAAAATTGATTGCAGAACGTGGAGGAGGGTGTATCGTCATTCTTTCCAGAAGTGCTCCTTCAGCAGAAAAGGAGATAGAGATCACTGATCTGCAGGACCATTTCGAAATCTCTGTAATCAGCTTGCAGTGTGATGTTTCAGTTTCTGAAGATGTTGTGAAAGCCATCACTGACATTGGACAGAGGTTTCCTTCTTGTCCCATCAGAGGGATTTTCCACAGTGCAGTTGTCTTATATGATGGATTGATTGACATTCTGGAAAAATCACACTTTGAAAAAGTTCTGAGACCTAAAGTTAATGGTGTGTTGAACCTGCACTATGCAACAAGATATTGTAAACTGGATTATTTTGTGTGTTACTCCTCCATTACCTCCTTTATTGGAAATTCAGCTCAAACAAACTATGCAGCAGCAAATTCATTTCTGGATGTGTTTTGCCATTACCGGAGAAACCTTGGACTTTCTGGGCAGTCCATTAATTGGGGGGCTTTGAATCTTGGTCTCCTGCTGAACCGGGAACATTTCCAACGATTTCTTGAGGCAAAGGGAATGATGATCATGGAAGTACCAGAGATTCACGAGTGTCTTGAACACTGCTTGCTGCAGAACAATGCTCAGCAGGTTGTGTGCAAGTTTAGCTTCAGGAACCTAAGCAATCATGTTCTTTCTCAAAATGCCTCTTTAAGAATGCGCTTACTGGCTTTGGTGACAGAAGAACTGAAGAACACAAGAGAAACTGAACCTCAGGTAGAAGAAAGTACTCTTGCCTCTTCACCTGATGAGTATGTTAAGTCTCTGCTCTTTGAAGTAGGCAATGTTGATGTTGTTGAGATGAGAAGTGACCCAGGACTTTCTGCATTGGGTATTGACTCAATGTTAGCGATGACGCTGCAAAATCACATCTTTCAAGATAGAAACGTGAATGTTCCCCTCATCAAACTTCTTGATCCAAGCACAATGGTTTCCTCTCTAGTTTTGGTTCTCCAGGAAGACACTGAGAGAAAATTTCAAAATGAGGATCAGAAAATGACTTTGAACACAACTGAGAAAAGTAGAAATGATTAGTTCACACAGTTTTAAATATTTAAACAAACCACATTAATTCTTTCATGCCTGTTAACCTGATAATAAGGCCTGATATAAGGTGTTCTGAGAAGATTCAGAGAGAATTGCAAAATGAGGATCAGAAAATGTCCTTATGGAAAGGTTACAAAGATGAAGACTATGAAGTCATTCAGTACAATTCATTTTCAAACAACAACAAATCCCTGTTTTTTCCTAGATCTAATTCATCCTCAGAGCTGCAAGAAACAAAAAGAGCTAAATTACTACCAGGTCACACCCTCTCCAATAATTAATCATCGCAAAAGCCCTTTAAATATAAAGATGGGTCCTGCTTCTTGTACCACATGGGTGCTGTTTGATAGCCATTACCAAATGGTTGCAGCCACCAGTCTTTGCCTTAGATCAGGTAGTTGAGTGAGATATTACCTTGCTCCTTGAATTAAGAGAGGTCCTTAGACTGGCCAGATTCCGAAAACCCTAAGTGCAAATTACACAGGACAACAGAATGAACAACCCTACGCCTAAAAATGGAGCAATGAGAGTTAATGACCATGCAGCCAGGACGCTGGTGTAGTCTCATCTGAAGGACAGCACCTCTTACAGCACAGTGTCCCCTGTATACTTATAAGGAAGATACAATTACTTATTCATAATTAGAGTGAAGAAGGATGAATTATGTTTATCTCTGCTTTCTTCTTCTGTCCCTTATTTGTCGTATCCCAACTATTGGACATACCCATGTAAGACTGTGTTAACTTTACTGCTTCTACAGAATGTGAAGCAATGAAATATGATGTTAATATCATGATAATGTAATATATTATTTCATATTAAATTTAAAAGTTCTCAGTTTGTCATTTAAGTTATTCAGGACAATTGTAAGAATGTGCAATTACACAACAATAAATAATTATTACAGAAAAAAACATTTATTTGTTTTGTGTTCAATATTATTGCGATATTCTAATCAAAGATGCTTAATAGAATAATAAAGAGGAAGTATCTTTTTACATAGTAAATATGTTTTGTTGCAATTGTGTCTCAAAAAAAATAAAATATTCCTTATACAGTACAGGATCATTACTTTCATATCAACTGTTCAGTTTGTTGCTAGGACTCCCAGCTCATACAGTGGAAACTGACTCTATTAGATTGATTAGCAAATTGACTCATTCTTGTTCTTAGCAACCAAATAACCCACTGTTTTGGGGCTTTTGTGCCATTTTTCTGTTGTCATTAAGAAGAATAAGCGATGGAGATCCTAGTAGGGAATAATTCCACTGTTGTAAAAGATATGAGTGATCTTCATTTTGCCTGAACTACACAATTAGCACTACGTTAAGACAATTAAATTTTCTTTCTCATATCTGATGAGATTAACAAATACTGGACATATCCAGACAGAGCATTAAATATCTTCAACAGCGATGTGAAGTACAAATTTTCAGTTATTTCAGTTATTAGGTTAGTTCTTCAAACAAAATTATGCTCTTAACACGTGTACTGTTTGTCTCATTGAGTCAGTTTTTTTACAGCTGCATAAATTGTTAAGTGTATGGGTTTCATATTTACACAATACATTTTGTTTTTATTTTTATTTATGTAGAAAATGCATTTCTGAACATAGGTTAGCATGCAAATTCCACAAACTTTAGCTCAGCTGTTGCTTCCTAGCAAACATTTGAAAGACAGTTTAGTTTTTTCAGAACACGTACATGTTAAATCCCATAACAAGCTAAGATGAGGAAATATTGCAAAAGAACACACATTTATTTGTGAGAGTATATGTGATGCCCTGATGAGCTCCAGCAAACTATTTAAACCCTATTTAAACTATTTAAATTTAAATTGTGTACTTTTCATTATACTATGCACCTGTGTAAGTATAATGACAAATAAAGTTGAATTGAATTTTCCAGGAGTTACTTTACAATTTTCCACTACCACTCTCTAACTCTCTTATCATCCCCTCCTTTCTCCAGCCCAGATCTGACTGCTTCCCCTGCGCATCTCAGCTGCCTGCCGTTCTCCTTTCTGCTTCCCCTGTGCATCTCAGCTGCCTGCTTTTCTCCTTCTGCTTCCCGTGCGCATCACAGCTGCCTGCTGTTCTCCTTTCTGCTTCCTCTGCGCATCTCAGCAACCTGCCACTCTCCTTTCTGCTTCCCCTGCTCATCTCAGCTGCCTGCCGTTCTCCTTTCTGCTTCCCCTGCTCATCTCAGCTGCCTGCCGTTCTCCTTTCTGCTTCCCATTACTGTATTGTTATCACTCAATCACATAATAAACTGTGTTCTTCACCGCTAATTGGACTCTTGAGAACAATTACTTTGCTGTGCCCTTTTTCTTTCCACCTACGAGCCTGGCATAACAGTATAAGTATGTTATTTACTTAGTAGATGCCACTTTTTGGGCAACTTACAAAATACAGAAAAAAAGTTTGTGAACCCTTTGGAATTATCTGGATTTCTGCATGAATGGCTCCTACAATGTGATCTGATCTTCAGCTATAATAAATAAAGACCATCTTATTTAACAAACAACACACAACATTTTACATTGTCATATCTTTATTGAACAAATGGTTTAAACAATCAAGGTCATTGATGGAAAAAGTATGTGAACCTCTAGGATAATGACATCTTGAAAAGAGGGTAATTGGAGTCAGGTATTCCAATCGACGAGTCAGGTGTTCCAATCGATTCAGGTGTGGGATTGACTTGCCCTGCCGTATAAAAATTCACACAAGTTTGGTTACCTGCTCTTCACGACAGAATTCTGAAGTGCAATATGGCCTGATATGGTTAACGGCCCTCAGAAGAAGAGCTGTTGAATCTCATAAGACTGGGAAGGGTTATAAAAGGATTTCTAATACATAATGTGAAGGCCTGAATGCACCAGAAGAGCATCTATTCCATATGTTATTATCTTTACTTAAAAGCTGAGGACACAAAACTGTCCAAAGCTTTAAATAAAAAAATGTGAATTAGTCAGGAGTATGTGCTAGAGATCAAGATTGGTCCTAGAGTACACCTTTTCAGGGCTTTGGCTACAACAGATATGCTTATATATTTCTACTGTAAATCATTCAAATGGCATCCAAGAGCAAGCAAGTGTGCCAATGCAACAAAATTATTTAAAAAAAATAGCCTAAAACATACTGTAGGGCACATCTTCTACATATTGTTTTAAGCAATCATAGGATTCTTAAACATCAGCATAGCTCTCTCAGTTTCACTATCCAGCTACTGTATCCTTAAATGGAATGTTAAAACAAGTGTTTAGTTCTTAAACGTTGTATAACAGGAATGTAAGGACAAAAACAATTTTTTCAAACTGTGTATCAGTGGATCACACTTCACCATGATGTTGCTTTTAATGTGATTGTAGGATAATTGGAGCTCTCTATGTTGCAAATTGCATGTCTTCAACTTTAGGTTCGAAATTTAAATATTTATTTTAAATATATAAATTTTTCTTCTGACACCACGTACTGTACAAATTGCAAATTCCTAAAATAGTTTTGATGCAGAAGTAAATGTTTATGTAATATGTTAAAAATTCTCTTCTATACTTTTCATCTCATCTCATTTCATTCTCATCCTCTCTCTATCAATATGGCACCTAACAAAGGTTGCTTGTGTTCTCAAGTTCAGAAGCTAATTTTGCTGCAGGGTGATCAGCTCATAGAGTCTCATCTGAATTCATGGGCAGTCCATCAAGTCTGCACCATGATTAATGTACATCTTTGATGATTGGTCCTTGGATGACAAACCCATCTGTTGTCTGTGTACCAAGTCATTATCTTTCCTGGTCACTTGGGCACCACCACCAGTGGCACAGTGGCTCTTTTTATCATGGTCAGTGCTGATTTCACCCTTACTGCTACAAATCCCAAAGAAGGTGAGGAACACAGGAAGAAAAACAATCCCGTGAGCCGCCCCAAACAAGATGACCAGGAACATGATCTTGAAAAAGGTGCGAAAGATGTAACTCTCAGCAGCAGCCAACACCACCACCCCCAGTACGGTGGAGGCAGCGCCCTGCACTATCGGGT